TCTCCACCGCCTGATATACGAAATCACGAAGAAATAATTTTTTCTCGTTGTTTTCGTGTTATTTGTGCTGAAATATCGTCATATCTATACCATTTTTCAAAATTGTCACCATAAAAAAATAGCATGTTCCTCGGACATGTTAAAAATATAAAAAATATGACTGTCCTGTAAATTCATCACCAGCTCATTTCAATGACAATTACAACACTGAAGGTACACATCAGTTTGTAACATCATGTCATGTTGCACTTAATCCTTATTTCGATGTCTTGCTTCAAATGATTTTCTCGCTCTAAAATGTGAAGCATCAAGGGACAATGCACCGTCTAGTTTCTTCCCTAGCATTGATCATACAAATCACTGTCACTGTACAACTTGGCATCATCTGCTCTATAGAACTTCTCTACATTTAGATTCGGCAGGTCAGTGCCTTTGGTTACATAACATCCGCTTCCCACTAATTCTAAGTCAATTTCATCTCTATACATGGACAGTTGATTGAAAGTTGAATTGCTAAGTTGAATTAACTGAAATTTCCACATGGCATAAGGACTGAGCATAAAATCACCATTCTTGATTTTATCATATACCAGATTACTGTGCACTGGTTTTCCATTACCGTCTTTTTCAAATGAATACTCGATGGTCTGACTAGGACTGATTATAACATAAAATGTATCCTCATACCTATAATATGAATTGCCCATGTGGGTGGCACTAACCTTAAAGCCTTTAAGGTCATCGTTCACCTCAAGCTGCCGGGCTGCATTAGCTACTGTGAAGTTCAGTTCAAGTAAATTAAACTTAACGGCATCTTTGTCCGGTGCACTGCCTCTTATGTCAGCTTTCAGGAATATTGCTTCACCCGACAGTAGCTTGCGTACCTCCTCTTTGTGGCCTTCATTTCTCCATACGAAAAACGGATGGGAAGAAACATGGATGCTATTAAACAACCCTTCATTTATACGTCGGTCATGACGATGAATAGCAGTCATATATTCATCTACTTGTAATTTTATCTCTTCTATTTTTCCCTTCACATTAGCAGCTGAATCTTCAATGTTGCCGCTGTTAAACTCCAGATGGGATGGCAACATAATCCTTTCAAGATAGAGACCAGCGAACGGAAACACCCACTGCTTCAACGCATCAACAGCTGTTTCGTACTGCTTTAGGATAAGGTTAGACCTGATGAATATTTCTAATTCAGTTTGATCAATATCATCAGGATCGTGGTAAGCTGCGATGGCTGAAATATAGTTAGCTAAAGTTTGTTGCTCCTGGTAGTCTTGTATGCGATCGTAAACATGGATTAAGGTGGTCATTGATTCTTCCAATTTTTCAATGCAACGTTCCAGGTTGTCTTCTACTTTAAACCCTTTGGTTGCTTGGCGCATGTATAGTTTTATGTCTCTGAGCGAGCTTTGTACCTGCCACTTGGTTACGTCAAGCGCAACTTGAGATTTGGTACCCAACGTATTTTCTACCTCCTCGAGATCGTTTGCCATGTTATTTAATATAGGCTTCATTGTACTATAAATTCTATCTTCGTATTGTTTAAGACTCTGGAGCTTTTCTCCTGCACTTTGAATAGCATTACAAATCGTATCAAGTTTTGCATCATTTTTGTGTTTACTGTAAATGTCCAATGTCACAGTACTAATCTGAATCAGACGATGAACGTTAGCTATAGCGCCTAATGCCCTAGCGGCTCTTTCTTCATCAATGGTTTTGTCCGTTTTTAGTTCGATTTCTATTGCCTTTAGTTCTTCCTTAATTTTGGCCACCTGCTCTTCAGACCGCTCTTCGAGCCCTGGAGCTCCCTCTCGATTGCGGATTTCCAGCATCTCACGCTTGTTTCTTTCTATACCTTCACGGACATCCTTCAACAATGGATGTGTATCAATTTCATGAGTTATGTAGTCTAATATTCTATTATTTCTCGTCAATTTAAGGTCCGTGGCACTTCTGATATGAGCTTCTAATAGCTTTAAGTCAGCCCTTACGCTAGCAGGTAATGATATATAGAGGTCGCTGCTGTGCGTCTCGTCGTTTAAAACGAAAACTTCCGCTATGGAACTTGAGTCCCCAATGAACGCACCTGCCGCCACTCAAACAGGTCCGAACTGACTTGCTACTTGTCCTACATTTTTTAAAAAAGCTGAACAATCCTCTAAGGACCACCGTTTGTTCTCATTCCTTTTTCTTCTTGAAAAAATCATTTATCTCTTCTTCAGCCGCTCTACACATTTATTTTATTTCAGCCAGAAGAAGCTCTATTTTGCGCGTGCATTTGATCGTTGGCCGGTGTAATCTCTTCTTCGATGAAACGCTTAGAGTCTTAAATTTTTGAATCGATATTGCCTTTATATGGATTCTTATAATTATTTATTGTTTCAACCATGCTACATCTTTCCTTTAATTGAATAAAATTATTGATATTGGCGACACTATATCAAGGTACTCGTTCATATCTGTGATAAATTCAACATCTGAATCACTTTTTAAATCATTTAACTTGCTTAAGACAGCTGTATACATATAGGCGAGGGTCTTATTATGCTGCATGTATCTTTGTTTAGCTTCTGGATATTCATTAATCCTATCTAATAATGATTGATAAAAAGTACGGAATATTTTTTTAACAGCTAAATCTGCCTCACTAAACCTCTGTGCTCCTCTGATAATCCTGACAATTTTTACATGCGTTTAATATCTCTGTTAGTGTCCAGTTCACGGATAAATTTTATGAGATCGTTTTTCCCAATGCGGCCACCAACTTCATCAAGTAAATTTTCTCCCACATAACTTTTATAATGGTTGATAATCTCAGCTTTATTATTAATGAATTCTACAGGTTCTGGGTTCTGGATGTCTGCTTCATTAGCTCCATCCCTTCCTCTATTTCCAGGTAGACCGTATCCGCGATCTCCTCTACGTTCAAATTTTCCGAAATAGTCTTTTGCTCTAACCCCAAAGGCATATTGTTGTAAACACTCGAGATAAATGGAATATCCTTGCAAGCCACCAGCCCCTCCGTCACCACCTTTGCCCATTAATGTTCCATCTCTTCCATTGTTATTAATAATTAATATCCCTGAATCGTTACCCAGCGTAATTAACTTTATATCTCCTGATTTACCCCCGTAACCATTTCGTCCACCATCCCCACCAGCTCCCCCTCGTGTGTCTTTACCGTAAATATCAATCTCAAACATTTTGTCCCTGTAAGCTAATAACGGTACTCGATCAAAGGTATAGATTTTACAGGCAAAACCTTCCGCTCGGCCACCAACACAGAGTGTGTCGCAAAAATAGTTATCATTATAGTATTTCAGATCGCTACTAGGAGATTCACCATCGCGACCACGTCCACCATTCCCACCATCCTGACCATCACCACCATTCCCACCATTAGCCACAATATTCAACCTATTTCCATTGAAGAATGTTGTGCCTACGCCAAAGAAACTCCCAGCTGGTCCTCCAGGCAAGCCAGGCCTACCGTCAGCTCCCCGCCCCCCGTCCCCCTCGCCGTCACTTGCCTTACGTGGATTATGTGGCGGAGCGTCAGCCCCACTCAAGTCTATTGTTCTACGACCTATTACCTCCCATGTCGGGGCTATCATTACGAGCTTCAGCCTTTGTCCTACTTTAGTAAGGGTTTCGTCAATGAATATTTTGTTCAGAGCAAATATTTCTGTTGTGTTGCGTTTGCAATTTCCAATTTCCACTATTACTTCACTAAGTCTTATGTAACCTCCTTTGATTGTGAGTTTATTTGATTGACATGAGACATGGAATTTGTTCAACGTCAAACTAGCTACTTGTCTCAAATCCTCCACGCGTATATCATCAGCCTCTATCATTTTTATTTTATTATATCCCATCACATTGAACGTTCTCATTTTTTCCATAAATAGTATGAAGTTATATCGAGTTATTGATATTCCCTGCTGTTTATCATCTTGTCCCCAGTCCGCAATGTTGGCTACGTTGTATTTCATTCTATTTTTCTGTACTTCATACGTAGAGAGCTTTTTATACAAATTGGTCAAAAATTCGTACCATCCTTGTGATTCCTCGAGATACGTCGCTGTTTCTTTCAGTGGAGTTATTAATTGAGATGGTGATGGGGTATCTAGCGTTTTGTTGCTTATAATTTGTAAGAACGTTAAGTACTCTCCTTGCCTAAAAATATTATTTATGTCACGGCTGATTGTGAAGGGATCATCATCTGAAATAACCTCTGGAAGTTTTCTGGTAAAATCTTGTGTTGTATTTGATTGTTCCATCTCTTTAATCCAGTTCAGGATGAAAGCTTGCCAAATGCTAATATCAGCGGGTAGTAGCAGAATTACAATGGAACGCATTTCTTCCTGGTAATACATTTTAATCTTTTCTGCAATATTATTTACATTGGTTTGCATTTGATCAACGATTTTTTCTGTGACATCATTGATTTCCTCCTGAATAGTATGTCGCGAGTCATCAAGGTAGGATGCGACAGGTTGCAACAAGTCACCCCAAGCCCTAGAACCTAATGCGCTATCACTCGCTACCTGCAAAAATGCAAAATATTTACCTTGTTGCGAAATATTTCTCATAGCCTCAGCGTACCCATCTATACTAAGTGTCTTAAACCTCTTGTTAATCTTCCGTCTCAACTGGTCTGTTGTTATATTAACAACTTCTCTCATAAATTTTTTCGTACGGGCATATCCAGCATTCAAAGAATCTATAAAAGTTCGAGCCTGCAATGGATTTGCATCAACAGCCCCTGTGATGGATGGAATAGACAGTATGTTTATACGAATCCATTCTACTAAATTGGTGTAATATTTCTGCATATTTATTGAGATAATGAGAAGATTAGACCACACATTATCGTTAATTTTATTTGCAGCGTCAATAATATCCTGCTGAACAGCATGCTTAGAGTCAGAGAGGTAGGTTACAACGGGTTGTAACAAGGCTTCCCATGCCCTAGTCCCTAGTACGCCGTCCCCCACAACCTGCAGGAATGCAAAATACTTACCCTGCTGCTCAATACTTAACAAAGCCTCATCACAGCCACCTATACCTAAGATAGTGAGGCTCTTGTTGATCTTTTCCGCCAACTGGTCTGTTGTTATATTAGCAGGTTCTCGCATTAGATTAGTCATACCGTTATATCCGGAATTGAAAAAATCATTAAACGTCCGAGCATCAGATGGATTTGCATCAACAGCCCTAGTACTGCTAGTAAAAGAGCGTATCTTTCTACGAATCTCTTCTAATAAATTTTTCGAATATATCAGCATGTTTTCTGAGATTATGCGTAGATTAGACCATACCTTGTCATTGATTACTTCTGCCAGAGCGCCTACAGCCACCTTGGACGTATCAGATATGGTATACCCGAAATCACCATCACTGGTTTCTGTGAACGCAAGATTTTCATTCACTATCCTCCCTACTTGCTCCTTTCCCTCTTCTAGATACCTTATATTACTTAGATGTCCTAACATATTTGGCCTTCTAAACATGCCAATCCTCGAATAATGATCACCGTCCATGATTAAAAGAGTGTCCACGAACTTCATTGCTTGCTCATAAAATGGTTTTTCCTTACCAGGAACCCATGCATCGGCTAATTGCTCCTTTAACCACTTCTTAACCTCATCTAGAAAATGGCCAATGGCTCTTATAACGAGATCATCTGATTCTGAAGTAAGGATCCCGTTTACTTTTCCATAATTAGGATCAATTTTTGTCACCATAAGGGCAATACTTCGCCGATATTTATCAATGTCTGTTATAAAATCTGTAACATGATTAAGTAATTTCAAGAAATCTTGTCTATCTACTCCACTTCTTACCGATGAATGATTAACAACAAAAATCAATTTAACATGTTCAGCATAATCTGCCACTTTTTTAATGAAGTAGGTTGTTGCTATTTCCATACTGGTACTCCTCGTATCACTAAACCCAGGGCAATCATAGTACGCATTATCTGTTTCAGGGTGAATTACTAACTCTGGGAAAATTGTCATCGAATTAAGAGTAGAATTGCCTATTCTATTTCCATCCACAATAATAAACGCTCCACTTGTCCCATATTCTTTTTTTGCTATCAACTTGTTATAGTCTCCAGCAAACCACTGAAGAAATGTACTCTTGCCGGCCCCAGTATTACCCAACACCAAGGTTATATTCTTATATCGTTCACTTAACTGGATTTTCTCTTGCCCTTCATCTAAAAGTTGAAATGTCCTGCTGATCTCACTATTGTTAGAGGAGGTTGACTCTAAAGTATAACGACGAGAGCGTCTACCTTTAAGCTCGTTGGAAGTGGGCCGGGTTTTCGTGCCCATTTTCATGAAAGAATAGTTTATGGGTACAACTTTTTGGGGCTTGAATGAGCTTGCTGCATCCACTCTCTTCGAAAGTTGAATGACGTGCTGGCTGTGTCTATTGCAATTTGTCGAAATCATTTGAGAGTTACTTGCGCTGGAAGAAGAGGATGTCAGCATACTCAATGGAAGAGTGTTTGCAGATGCTGAAGTGAAGAATGGAATGTCAGATCTCGGGGGACGAGCTGAAGAAGAAGAGCTGACCCTCTTGTGCACGCCTTGCATCGGAGGGTCGGAGGCCTGAGACGCCAGCCCAGGCATCACCACCACACCCTGAGGACGAGTTGGACTGATGACCAGGAACTTGTCTGTTAAAATAGGCGGCACTCTAACTGCTCTTGAGCTTATTACACGACTGAATCGTTATTGTGAATGGCATTTAAATGCTTACCGATGGGGCGCTTAACGCTGATCATTTATCGGAAGAAATTTCCATATATTGCGTCAAGTATCAAGCCTAAATAATGCTACTCATGTCAAGTATTTAACCATTTTCATATTGTTGTAATAAATTTCTTCATCTTATGAATTTAATGAAACTCTGGCAACTAATACCAGCATCTGAGTTCACAAGGAATTTAAAAGCAAAGAAAACGCCAAGAAAATTCACCATATCGATTTTGAAAACGTTTCGGAGTCCAGCTCCATCATCAGTTCGACTAAACTAAAAATGAATAAAACCACTTTAAAAGTCAAAATTCAGAGACAGACATAAAACCTAAACAAGACCTAACATTATATCGAAATAAACAGGACTAGTTATGAACAACTTAGTCCTAGGGGTACGACAAGAATATAAAATCCTAGCGATTTACTATTTCTTGTCGTACCCCTAGGACTAAGTTGTTCATAACTAGTCCTGTTTATTTCGATATAATGTTAGGTCTTGTTTAGGTTTTATGTCTGTCTCTGAATTTTGACTTTTAAAGTGATTTTATTCATTTTTAGTTTAGTCGAACTGATGATGGAGCTGGACTCCGAAACGTTTTCAAAATCGATATGGTGAATTTTCTTGGCGTTTTCTTTGCTTTTAAATTCCTTGTGAACTTGCGATGTAAGCAGACTAATGATATCAGCATCTGAGTATCTCATGAGGTTAAGAATGCAAGTAATTTCAACGAGATTGCGAAATGAATTAAATTACACTTCTTTAAACACTGCGATTCTTAACGGTTAATTACCACCTTCGCATTAATTTGACGTAACCAACCCTAATTACTTTGCAATACTCACACTCCGTCCATCAACGTAAGTTTTCGTGGCCACCTGGCTGCCGTCCAGCGTCAGAACCTGCACAAATTAAATGGAAGTTAAATTTGTTTGTTATTTAAGAAACATTTCTTGAGCGCATTCATCCATATCAGATATCAATTGAAAGAAATAACATTTATGCTTGGAAACCAAGTAGAACATAGCGTAAGTTAAAGAATTTGCTAAGGATCCCGTTTCCACCTAGAGTTGCAAAAAATAAATATGCGTCATTGCCGTGGTTCTTACACGCCTTCGTTTGGGGCATGCTGGGGTTCGATCGTACCCCCATCGATTTGGCATGGCTGACACTCCCATGTGCTTGCACTGTGGGGTGGAGCCTTGGAGGATACCATAGAGCATTTTCTCCTAGCATGCACGCAGTACCGCCTGGAACGTCAGGTGCTGATCAATAGTACCCAAGCCTTGGGTGTCCAGCATCCATCTGTTCGGATGCTTCATGGAGGAGGCAACTTTTGCAGAAATGTTCAGCATGCAATAATAAGAGCAACAGTCATCTATTTAACACAGACAAATCGCCTGGCTTCTCTGTAAGGCACAAGTAACATCTTGGTTTGAGCTCAAATCCAAAAGCTATAAGCCCATTTAATAAGATCTCAAAGAACCAGTGAAATAATACTGAAATTTCCCAAGTAAATTCTGCTGAGTCCAGGTGTAACACAACAAATATGCGTCATTGGTGCGATTTGAATCATATTAATTGGTTTCTATCAATTATTCGAAAGTGCAAGAAGCCTTACATGCAAGTTTGATTGAAAACCAAAGAATGTTTTCTATCAATAGTTTTCTTATTTGTCTTCTCAATGCGTCGAGCGAGATTTTTTGCTGATGTAGGCAGATTGAAAATCAGGTTGCAAAAAGAACAATTATTGAGCTTGAGTTATCGAACGAACTCCTACCCAAACTTGAGACTGATAAGAAAATCAACCTGAACTTGAAAAACCAATTGCGAGCTATAGCCACCAATCAACGATGCTCATCAACCACAGCAGTCTTAACTCCGGTTCTACGTCAAGAAGCTAAACAACTCCGAGACAACGACCAAATTGTTATACGGAAAGCAGATAAAAGAAATATTTTCTTTCGAAAAATTAACGAAATTAAATCAGACGAGTCCAAATTCAGTCATGTCGCAAGGGATTCGACAGAACACCTCCAGAGGAGAGCAAATAAATTAATCATGACAGCGAACTCCGCAACAGGATCTAAAAACTTACCCTATATAGCTGATTGTTGGGAGCTATTCTCCAGGCATCCTCTACGAAAACATTAAAACTCACAAAGACAACCTTCTCAGGCCTATGATTTAGCAAGTTGCTTCTTTAATATAAAGACATCTAAGGAATTGGACGCTATAATAAAACCATATACAATCCCTACTAACTACTCTCTGAAATCTAGAAATGACTTCTTGGAAATTCTTCACGCCAGGAGCCCTTCTGCATGGTCACTAAGCTTCACTGGATGTTACTAGTTTGTTGACTAATGCACCAACTGAAGAAACTTTAGAAATTATCATGCAGCATATGCATTCACACCAAATTCAGCCAGCCCCACCTATACAAAAATATCCTAATTGACCTTATAATTGACCTCTGTACTCCAGAATACTACTTCGGGACTCCTGATAAAAAAATTTACCAACAAATTAACGGCGTTGCCATATGATGTCCCCTGTATCCAACTTTTGCAGAATTCTATGTGTTTGATCTGGAAAATAGATTGTTACTCAAGGCACAGACAAAGCCTGAACTTTACTGCAGATACGTTGATACTTGATGGCAGTTTCGTCGTCAGTCGGAATGAACAACGCTTGAATGAACTGCGAAGAGCCTTAGAACAAGATTCAGTCTCAAAGTTAACCCATGAAATGGGACAAAATCACAAATTGAACTTCCCAGATATGATAGTCCGAGTTGAAGTTAATTCATTTGTCACTAATGTTTACCGAAAACCTACCGATGTAGGGCCCAGTTAAAATTTAGGGCAGGGAATAGAGCAGGCCGTCGCCGGCTGCAGAGCCGGCGTAGAGACGCGACAGAGCAGCGATAGAGCAGAAATGTCCGCTTTAGAGACGATATCTCTCTATATCAGCCATGGCGCAGCGCAGTTTTAGGGATAGATGGCCGGTTATTGTTTCACGGCTCCATCCTGCTAAAGCGCGACCAGCCCGGCTAAACCCGGCGCCGGTCTCGGCTCAAAATTTTAACTGGGGGAAAGTGCTAAACGAAGTCAGTGAAGGCCCACAATGCTATAAAACCAGCACCGTACGCGCTCTCATACAAAGATCATTCAAGACTTGCATATCCGAGAGTGATTTAAAAACTTAACCTAGAATTTCTAAACAAATCATAGTAAATAATGGCTTTTCAAATAGAACAGTCCGCACTGAAATATCAGATTATCGAGCAAGAGAAAACCTAATCAACAATGAAGCAGCATCTAATGGAACTATCACCAAAGCAGCATCTAATGAAACCCTCTCCTACCAAACCAGATGTACAAGGGCTACTAAGTATTTGAACGAGTATTACAGTCAATCATCCATAATGATATCAACAGCACAACAGATAAAGAAAAATAAAAACCTCTGATCTACTACAAAAAAAAATAAAATTAAAAACATTGTCCTGAAAAATAATCTTTGTAAAAAATCTAGACTGCTTTAAGAAAATATTGTTGTTTAAAAATTTTCTTGTAATATAGAAGGTTGCAGACTTTTTTGAAATATAAACTACCATGGCTCGTTGCCGACAAAAATTTACACTCAGTTTGCCCGATGCGCTCAGAGACTTCGCGTGTCAATGAATGCGCCGCCTCACGTGCCATCTACAGTCTGGAGGATCTAAGAACCACATGCGGGAGGCTCACAACGAGACCATCACCCGAGCGACATTGGAGGCCTGCACCAAGCATCGTTATGCGGCGTCCCGACGCGTCACGAATGGCTATAGCTGGAGCCCTTGTTGTCAAGATAGAGTCTCCAGCTATCAATTTGCAATCTAAGGAATTCGTCCGGCCGCTGAAATTATTTTTTAGAGTATTTTTAGGTTATGATTTCGAACTGTATCCACAAAACTCTTTATTTGTACTGCTGTCATTTCTAGATTTCAATTTCCAGTGTTGCAAACCTCTTCACCTGCTTGATAATGAATAATGCGTTTTTGAAACGTTGCATTCCATTCAAATGGCTCTTGGTAACCTGTTTTTTAATCTGCCTACGCAAGCAAAAAACATCGCTCGACTCATTGAGAAGACGGGAAAATTATTAATAGAAAACATACTCTGGTATTCGATCAAACTTGCATATAAGACGGGCTTCTGCCGAGCTATATCAGAAGCCTTATATGAAGATGTCAGTGAGTTACGAAAAAATATATATTTTATATTTTTTATGAAGCTTCGTGAATTAGCTACATCAATAATTTAATCCCGATTTCTGTCTTATATTAAAAGCCCAAATAATCTTAGAAAATTTAAGGACCCTCATCCTAAATAACCCAACTAACAATGAGCCATATTCACACACGCCGCTATGGTTTGTCTGGCGAGACTGGGGTGCTTGAAGGCGTTCATTTACAAGACACTCAACGAGGTCACGGCTAATGCGATCAACTATGGCGCTGTTGTCAAGGGAGAGGCGGGGTGCTTGAAGGCGTTCATTTACAAGACACTCAACGAGGTCACGGCTAAAGCGATCAACTATGGCGCTGTTGTCAAGGGAGAGGCTCCTTGTCACTGCACTCCTTGACACTGCACTCCTTGACACTGCACTCCTTGACACTGCACTCCTTGACACTGCACTCCTTGACACTGCACTCCTTGACACTGCACTCCTTGACGCTGCACTCCTTGTCACTGCACTCCTTGACACTGCACTCCTTGACACTGCACTCCTTGACACTGCACTCCTTGACACTGCACTCCTTGACACTGCACTCCTGAGTCTCCCTCCTCCTGAACTGATCATTGAGGCTCGTTGAAGGCACCTCTGTCTGATGGCGTGGCTGCTGCTTGCGCTGCTGCTTAAGTCGTCAGGGCAGGGACAAGGCGTCACTGTACTTGATGAACAAGTGAAGCTTATGAACGTCAGTTGGCAAACCTTATTAGGTTCAAAGCAAACGAATATTCCCGTTACTACCTGTAGTGCTCCAAGGCTTGAGAAAAGCTTGCAGTTTTCTAACAAAGAATTATGCAAAATCAACCTCAGCACTAAATATCCTTGCCAATAATAAAATGTGACGGTAGAAATTGCACCAGCTTCTATAGCTTTTTACACCATAGCTTCTAATGCTTGTAGCTAATCCTGTTGAATGATAACAAATTTAACTGTACAGGCCGATGCAATAATTATTCCAATTATTCCCATATAATTATGAATAATTAATAATTATTCCCAACGTGAACGATTCAACGGCCGGTGAGGTATTATTGTCCCAAAAATATTTATTGAGCGTGTCCCCAATACAAAATATATAATTATCATTCTCTTATTTTTATCCCGCCACCTTCATCAAATGAAATTCCAAAAGATTGGCAGGAGAGAGAAAATTTTCAACAATATAAGGATTTTCACAGAAAATAAGTTTGTAATTGTTACCTCAATTTCTACGTGACAATAGGGGCGATGGTGAGTAGTCTTAATTATGTTGGTGTCACTTGTATCAGTGTGCAAAGTCCATTGATAGTAATCATTCTCTCACTTTTGGATGGGAATGTGCTTGCACCAGCTTTGTCAAGCGGTGCCCCGACGCTTGCACCAGCTTCGTCAAGCGGTGTCCCGGCGCTTGCACCAGCTTCGTCAAGCGGTGTCCCGACGCTTGCACCAGCTTCGTCAAGCGGTGTCCCGTTCCCGACGCTTGCACCAGCTTCGTCACGCGGTGTCCCGACGCTTGCACCAGCTTCGTCAAGCGGTGTCCCGACGCTTGCACCAGCTTCGTCAAGCAGTGTCCCGACGCTTCCACCAGCTTCATCATGCGGCGCTCGACATTCGTCAATGTTTGCACTCAAGTTATTGCAATATCAATAAAATTTATGAAAATAATATCAAGAAAATTTTCAAGCGGAGTACAGATGTATATTTTTTCAGAAATTTCGTTTAAATG